TCCTCATGCAGACCATTCCTTCTGTCTGGACTACCCTTCTCATCCCATATAGTGGTTTCCCGACATCCTTTCCTACAAGAACCAAACTGCCCCTCCAGAGATCGCTCTCTGTATACCTTTTGGGACTCCTACTGTCCCAGGACATGACTACCTTAGAGCTGAGGGTAGAACCTTTGCAACCGTATTCTGCCCACAACTTCCCAGACCCCAATTCCACAGCCAGAGGCAAAGTCCTGAGGTTCAAATCTCAGGCTCGCTACTTACCAGTGTATGATCTTTTAAGTAACAGTTACTTTGAACTTGAGTTTCATCACATGCAAAACATGTCTCTTTTGTATAAAATTGGTGATACTATGATAAAGCAAACAGAACATGCTAAACAGAAGGCAGCTCTCATTACCCCTTATGCATCATTGATCAGAGACCCAAGCAGGCTACTTTAAGATACATTAAAAAGAAAAAAAAGGAGGCCGATACAGGGACAGACTGGTAATCAATCAAGAGATGACGCAAATTCAGTAAACGTACCTAACAAAGCAAGCACAAGAATGCTTCCAATTCTTTATACTTTTGTTTGAATTTTTTTATAATGTAATGTTGAAGAAAATGGGACTCTGAATTTTGACATGAACCTGTAATTAAGGATTCAGGTGCTGTGCTGTGCATCTAGGGCATATACAGTTTCCCATTCCACCCAAACTGGGTCTCTACCAGGTGGGACCACAGGGCTCTGTAGCCTCAGGTAGGTCCACTATGGCCCCACCAGGTGGCCACATGTACTCTAACTGATAAGATGGATGAGGAGGGCCTGGTGTGAGCCTGTAAAACACTCCCATTTTCCCTCTCTTCTACAACATTCCACTCTTGGTCTCCAGGCTGCTGTTTGGCTGCTTTGCAGTACACACATAAATCACCCCAGATCTTGTTACAATGCCACTTGGACCTGGCAGGTTGGGGGCTGGGCCTGAGATCCTACATTTCCAATGAGCTTGTGATGCTACATCAGTTGCTGGGTACACACCCTGCTGTAAGGGTCACAGGTTCCTCATGCTGGTGGCACCTTACAGTCACCTTGGGGGAGGCTGGTAAATTCATTACACCTAGCCCCACACCATACCAATCCAATCAGATTTCTGGGGGAAGGCCCAGGGTGTGAAGCCTTTTCAGGAACTCCTAAAAAGGAGTTGGTGTGTCCTGCATCTGAGCATCTTCCCTCTCACTGGTTGGCTGCAGGAGCAATCAACACTCCAGGGAAAACCTCATGATGACATAGCAGGCAGATAAGCACCTCTGGCCCCACACTACTAACATGGGGCCAGGGAGGCAGGAGTGAGCACAGCCCCTGCTCGCCTGTGAGCCTTGTCTCTTCTCTCTATATCCACGGGCCAAGCACAGTCCTTCAGTGACTGCCAATAGCTCCCTTTAATGCAGAGGCAAAGGCCAAGACAAGGTTGTCTGTCTTCTAGAGCCTGGGGTCTCATTCTCACATCCACCTGCCAGGCAGGCCTGGCTACCAATGGGCCAAGGAGATTTAGTGAAAAGTGCCAGTCTTGGATCTTTAAAGTTTCTTTGTTTTTCATTCTATTATCTTACATTTCCTTTATTAAATTATATAGTTATTTATAAATTATGAGTCTGTATTTGGAAGTCGTAAACATGTAATCTTATTTTATGATTACTCATGTTTCTCCTTCACTGTGAAGGTTCCAGGAAGGGCAATTATCTGGGTTAGGAAGTGTTCAGGGCACTGGAAAGCCAGCCTTGGTCAGCAGATAAACTGTAGCAAAAATGTGTCTGAAGCTCTAAAGAGCCACAGTCCCTTCCCTTTCACAGGAAAATGACAATCAGGTAGTTTGGGGGGTGGTGGTCACCAAAGGGAAAGCTTGGGGCAAGTCAGAATGAAGCTCCAAGTGGGAGCAATTCATGTGTCAGCTGCTGTCAGCTGTTCTAACTGTCAACCCATTGCCTTCAGTCAGCAGGGACAGGAGAAAAGTCAGCTTTCAAAAATGGTAGGTCACAGTGTCCAGGTCACCTGATGTCAAGTACACTAACATGAACAGGAATGTCCACACCTGTATCCATACACAGACTCCTGAAAAAGAATCCCATCAATGATGATACGAACTTACTTCAAGACACTACTTGATGATAAAAAAAAAAAAGGCAGGCATTCCGTTTCTACCAAGAAATGAGTTGTATTCAGCAGCTTGTGTGTCTTCAATGTTGACAGGTGTCTCCTAGACTAACCCAAGTACAGGAGGCCTGTAGAAATGCTAACTACCAAGGCCAGCCATCTGCTGCTGGGTAGAACCACACACAAGAAAGTGCTGAGGGCTTCTAAGGACCTAGAAAATAGCCAAGTCTACCCATAATGAAGTTGGAAACATGCCAGCAACAGGCAGAAGCAATTGACTATATCCCTTGCAGACAGATTGCTGACTGAAGGTAAAAGATGGCTCAAGATCGATGCCCTTGGCTAAGGGAAACTAGAAGGCCGTGAGCACCCTTCCTAAAAGGCAGGCTCTAGCCTCCCAGACAAGCTGTCTGCCTAAGCACTACTGCCTTTTAAGGACCAAGAACTGAGGCAGCACACGGTAAGGAAAAAAAAAAAAAAAAGATCCAAATCCCAAATCCCAGAGAAACAAAACCAAAGTCTCCTGATCCTATCCAGAGAAATAATATGAAAAGGAAATGGAAAAGTCTGACCACCTCTATAGGAAAAAGATCCCCACCCCATCAGGTGCTTCCTAACATGGGCCCAGGAGTCAGTTCCTGGAGCCTGCCTGGCCAGCCCTAGTCCACATGACTCACGGGCTGGCCTCACTCAATTCTTGAGTACTTCGTCCACTGGTCAGGATCATCACAGAGCCAGAGATAGCCCAGGAGCTGTGTTGTGACTTATCAATGAGAACCTCTCCTTCAACCAGGGTGATGAGACTGGGAAGTCATAAGTCCAGAGCTGCTATGGATAGAAAGTCCATGGGGACAGACCAGTCAACCTCGTCTAGCCATCTGAACCAGTTGTGCCTGGAACCTGGGCTTTTTCAGTTTTATGAGTAACAAATTGCTTTATTGACTTGAGCCTACCTGAGAATGCCTGTTACAGCTTTAAAAAATAATCTTTATTTAACGGCTTTCTTTCCCCTCAAATAAAGCTGCTTGTTTGCAGTACTCCTTACCAGCAAAATTTAGATCTCATGCAACACGTGTGTGAATAACTAACCAGTTTAATTTTGCAATTGTTCATTTCATGGTATGTCCAAGGATGCCAGAAGAGGCCCTTGGGGGAAGATGAGTGGTCAGGTACCTCCTCTCCCCTCTCTCTGAGCCCTGGCCTAGGTCCCCTACAGAGGAGAGCAAGGATCTCTCCTTGGCTCAAGGATCACCCCTTGATTCAGCTGAAGCTCCTCTCCAAGGACAGCCATGGCCTTGGGAAGACCTACTCCCTAACAGTCTCCTTGGGCCCAGGTTTCCCGATGGCCGGCTTTCTCTTCATTGATGGAAATGAGGGCCAGGCTAAAGCTAGACTGCCATCCAGAGAAGGCACTGAGACCAGCCCAAGGCTAGCTAGATCTGTCCCTGCTTTGCCCTTAACCTCAGTCCCCTTCTTATCCCCTCCAGGTTTAACTCTATCATCTGCTGAGGGCAGTGTCACTGCAATATTTCATTGACAATTGTGCCCTCCACTCTGGCCAGGGCAGTTTCCAAAGCCCCATCACACCTGTGATTGATTTGTGCTTACCAATATTCTATGGATGAATTGGAGATCATGCCCCTTTATATGGGTTGGTAGGGAAGGCAGAGGTAGGGGCCAGACCTGGCTGGGTCTCCCTCCCTGGTTTGACCCATCCATGCCACCTAGAGCCCTGAGCTGCAGACCTCTCTCTCCTACCTGTAAGAGGGGTGCATGACATCAACTCAGAGAAGGACAAGGAGCAGAGACTAACTACTCAGCACCATTCCTGACCAGCAGTATAGCATCCATAATGATCTGGCTGTTATCATCCTCCTTAATGGGAACCTGGGTCTCTATAGACCTTCCATCTTGGGTTGCTGAAGTCTTGCTTCCTCTGTAGCAGTTCTTACTGTATATGAATGCTTCTAGAAGGAAGGGCACTACCTCAACCAATCTTTAATAACTATCCAGAGGCAGAGATGAGTCAAACCATGGACATAGAGCCTTTGGGCTAATGACCAATACCCTTCTGTGCTCTGCTCAGCACACAGCCCCTCTGAGCACACCATGACCTTTACATCTAAGTTGGTTATATTAAATTAAGTTAACATCTTGATAGACAAAAATTGCCCTGGCGTTCTCAGAGCTCAAATGCTGTTTTTTTTTTCAATACTAAATCCATAGTGGGGGGATGGAGAGATGGCTCAGCAGTTAAGAGTACTGGCTGTTCTTGCAGAAGACCCAGGTTCAAATCTCAGCACTCACATGGTGGTAACAACCATTTATAACTCCAGTTCCAGGGTATCTGACACCCTCCCTGTCCTCTGTGGGCATTGCACAAGATGGATACACTTACACACATGCAGGCATAACCCTCATACACATAAAATAAAAATAAATAAATTAAAATTCATGGTGGAGAAGGTCAATACCACAAGACTTTCAGGCAATAGTGAAGATGGGTCAAGACCTCTGGGGTCCAAATCCTGACCTTCCACTTTCAACTCTGAAACGTCACTGAGCTAAGCTTGTTCTTCTGTAAGCACAGACCCTGACTCCCAGGATCCAAGTGGATATGAGCAAAGTCCAGAAGACACAGGTACACTAGGCAAGTGTGCAAGACTCAGCTATTGCTGTCACCAGAGAACCTTAAGCAAGCCCTTCTTCCTTCACCTTCACCTTCTCCTCTCCTCCCTTTGGCCCTGGGCTTTTCACTTAACCATGTCAAGGGCTCTCTCTACTTGTCACAAAGCCATAGGGATGGCTGAATGGCCATAGGAACCTTGCATCATTGGCTTGATCAAAATACAGCATGGGTCCTCACCTGTAGGTGGCCACCTCCAAGCTGAGGCCAGTCTTCACCTGCACAAGCTCCTGGTAGTCCCGTAGCCGGTCAGCCATGGCCAACGTGAGGGCTTCCTTCTCATCTTCCAGGCAGTCTATTACTCTCTGCCCAAGAGAACAGAAGAGCTTTTAGATCCATTTCCTAGAGCTTCACAGGCCGAACCAAGAGTGCAGAATGTAAAAAGAGATGAAAAGCCTCCAGGTTTATTAAGCATGTAGCCATTTGCAAGAACATTTCAAATAATGACTCTTTTGCACATGGAAAGCTCGTTTCATATGGTGAATTTTGATAGGATACTGTCTTCTCTGTTTGAACTTTCTAATGATGAATGCTTAGTTAATCAAATCACTTCTGTTTCAGACCTGGCTCCACTTCAGGAATCCAAATACACCCAACCAGGCAACTAAGATGTTATTAAAAAAATTAGTCATGACTAGAGATATTTTACATTACTTAAAATAGAAGTCACTCTCATGTGAACTAAAATGTTTCCCAAAGTCACCATTGACCCAATGACAGCAGATGAATGGGTAGAGATACCTTTATTTCACCTAGAAAAGATAGTTTAAAATTATCTGGGGAGAAATATATTCTGGGCATAAATGAACAAATTAAGACCTGGATATAAATCTTCCCTTTGGAATGCAGTTAATAAACCTCATCCCACCTGAATATTTTCTTCCTTCAGGCCTGTCTCTTCCCTGGTTGGGAGGTGCTGCGGCCCCTGCATCTGGGCTCCTGACTTGAGAACCTACAGACCTGTCACACAGTACATACCAGGTGCACTGAATTAAAGATAAAATGATTAAGATGGTATTACCCTCCTCAATGTACCATTTAAAGCCAATACAATTTTTAACTAGTGTACATTTTACAATTTTATATTTTCTTCTTCATTGTTGACTAGTCACTCTAAGGAATAAAATTCATCAGGACAATATTTAAATACTGAAATAAGTCTGTATTCTTGTAACTTCTACAAGGGGAAATAGCATTATTTCCGAACATAGTTAAAGAAGCCACAACATAAACACTTATCTGTAGAATTCAAAACTCTAAGACTGTTGGGAAAGGGAAATGTATTTTCATTGCTGCTGGAATCCCACCACCAAGGGGTCCACAGTGAATACATACCGTCTGTGAAAGCAAGGAATGAACCTAACTTTTGGTCCCATTCCGGATTTGTCATTGTTAAATCATGATCATCATCTAGATAGATCTGCTCCTTCTACAGCAGTTCCATCACTAAGACAATGATTGTGTTAGGCTCTCTGTATACAAAGGGAGCTGATTTTTTTATTTTCTTAAGGATTTACTTGATTTTTAGTTATGTGCACATATAATTGTACCTGTGTGCAAGTATGTGCATGTGAGTGCAGATGTCCAGAGGCCAGAAGTGGATCGCTGATGTAGGTGTTGGGAACTGAACTTGGATCCTCTGCAAGAGCAGTACATGCTCTTAACTGCTGAGCCATCTCTCCAGCCCTAATTTAAAGCTGTTTAAAAGCAAAATTCACTTAACTTTTAAAGCAAAGGAATGAGTTTAAGAGCCATTAATGTCTCAGGGCAGGTGTATGGTTAACAGATCCTAAAGCTGGCATTATAGGCTGATAAAGTAGATCACCAGACTATGTGCCAGTCTTAAGTGTCAAAAGATGTCAGATTTAGCCATAACATTCACACACTCAATAGTTAAGTCTCTATGTTAAAAAGTCTATGTTCTCCTGGTTTTGAGGGAATATAAATTCAGATACAAACTTAGAATCTAAAATCTCTCTCTCTCTCTGTGCGTGTGTGTGTGCGTGTGTGTGCGTGTGCGTATGTGCATGCACTTTCTTTTTATGAAAGGTCCTTTATAAAGGTCCTTATAAAGCCCAAGCTGTAACTCACAATTCTCCTGCCTCTGCCTCCAGAGTAATGGAATGACAAATGTGTGCCACCATGCCTGGCTTTATATCTTTTCTAATAAAGGAAAGTCGACCTTTAAGCATTAAAACTTGGGAATTTATCAACTACTCTTCACAAAGAAATTTAAGTATTTATTGCTAAACTTAGCCTAGGAAAAAAAAAATATCAGTTGAACTCAGTTCTCCACCTACAGGTCAAGATGTGGCAGCCTCTCTCTTCCCTGAGAACAAAGAATAGTTCTGTACCCCACCCCATAAAATATGAACAGCAAAATCAAACTGTGCTTAAGTTGGAATAAATATAGTTCCAACCACATTTCCATGTGAGTCAACTCTTCCCAAATGGAGAAAGGAAAACCCATTGACTTTTGGAAGCAAGAACACAGTAGGAACATAAGATGTATTGGTTCCCCGTGGTCTCCACAGAAATCACAACCAATCCTGCTCATGGGATGAATCTTCAGACCTGGGCTCTGCTTTGCCAGATCTTTTCATGTGGTGGACCAGGCCAGGAGTGCTGCAGCCTCCCAACACAGGATGCTATTTCCAACCCAAGCAGAAGCAGTTTCACCTAAGGCTGCAAAAGCTCAGGGGAGAGCGCAGTCTTTTAGCTGCTGTGCAGAGAACTTCTGGACAGCAGTATCACCAATGCTGAACCCTGGCTGTGCCTCAGGGAACGTGTACTGCTGTTTGTGCCAAAAGAATTAACCCTCTTTCTTTTCCAAGCTTGAGCTATCCCTGGCAGAACACAAATAGTCAGAGCTTGCAAAGGTCCTAGTTGCCTGGGATCTTGAATGTTAGAGCTCAAGGGGAGTTAAATACTGTTATAATCTCACTCACACGCAAAAACTAAATACATTAATAAGCATGAATTGGGTGTTATCTATGTTTATAGTTGTATAGACAGAACTCTAACCTCCAGGCTCATATTACAGTCCCAGGTGGGCATTTCAGAGGATTCTCAGACTGGCCATGTATAACTGAACTCAGACCTCTGACCTCAACCTGCTCTCCTGTACACACCCCCTTTAGCAAGAAATACCCCTTCTTCCAGTTGTTCATCCCCAGGCCCGGTTAACTTTGATTCCTCCTTCTTACTTTATTACTTAGCTAATGGGTTCATCAGCCAAGCCTGACAGCCTCAACTTGAAAGTAAGGTCCCCTTCTCAGTCTTTCGCTTCTGCGCCTGGTTCAAGCCTTGTGTGGCTTCAACTGTTGCAACAGACTCCTAATGAGGTCTCACTGCTCCTACATTGGTCCAAAACAGGCCATACTCAGCATAGCAAAGAATGGTCCATTAAGACACTCCCTCTCTTCAGGACTTTCGGGTGACCTTGCCTGGAACTCAGGGAATACAAAACAAAACAAGCATTCTAGTAGCCACCTCTATCTTGTTCATTGCCCCAGCAATGATGGCTTCCTAGCTGTTCCCTGAGCACCATGTACTGGTGTCACCGTGGGAACATTGCAATCAAAAAATTTTCTTTCATTTTGCATTTTTCATTGCTTTATCCCCAGCCACAAAGAGTGAGCTTCATACTCTAAGCACTCAGCAGCTACTGGTTGAATCAATCAACTGAATGTGAGCTGCTTTCATTATCCTCATTGTACAAATCAGGAAACTGAGTCACAGAGGGTTAATGAGCGCAATCTTGTGGAAATTTTATAATCTAAATAAGAATCAGAATTCAATCCCAAACAGGAAGATTACAAAAGGACTGAACTTTAACCATGCATCTAATCCCATCTTCCTTCCTATCAAAAGAAAGAGCTCATTCAATCCTATTTTGGCCCTCTTCAAGCCCTTCATCAGTAGTTAAAGCTCACATTATAGAATATATCTCAATGTCTCTAGAGTAAGAAATATAAATGACAAATGTCTTTAAGGCCTTTTCGGCGGGCCCCTTACTGCAGAGTGGGTATGCTTCCAACACCTGTTCCTGTCATGGGGATGGGAAGGGTCCCACTAATATGGGACACAGAAAAACATGAAAGAGACAATTCTAAAATCATTTGCCAGGGGGGAAGGTCTGAAAGCACCTTAGGGGTTAAGATAAACAGCCACCTCTGGGCTGGTTCTTAGAAACAGCAGTTATCATTCTACTAATGCAGAGGTAAAAGTTTCTCAGGTAGAACAGACAGAGGGGAGGGGATGTAGTTCAGGTACTGGAGCCTGGGTGGAACTCTGATTTGGCCACTTACTGACTGGGTGACCCATGTGTTTCCATTTCACCATCTGTAAAATGAGGCTAACATTAGGATCCACCTCCCGAGACTGGTGTAAGGGAGTGAATACATGTAGCAGATTGGTACCTGGCAGGTCAGCACTTAATTAAGACTAACTGTAAGTATACAACATTTATTACAGGAAGTCAGTTAAGCCAGTGTTTGGGATATTTTCGGTCTTTCAACAGTGAGCTCCTATGGAATTTGGAGAAAAAAAAACTAGAAACTTGAGTTTAAATAAATATTTTCTCTTAAACATAATTCTGAACACTTTTATGATTTAGAATTTGAAATACAGTTGTTTTAAGCTAATGGGGGGGATTTATAATCTAGATAAGGTAGTAGCTGGTAACATTTAGCAAAACAAAACCTAAACAGGTTGGAAGTGAAGAAAAAAATCCACCCCTAATGGACACTGCCTGGACTCTTTCACATTCAGGGGAAAGAAGCCACTTGGAAGACAGAGATGTCACTGGCTGGCAGGCTGCAGGTGGGGTCCTATTTCAGGTCAGGTGTGACTCAGGGGAGGCACTTCCCTGGTGGTCTGGGGTCCTGTACTGTGGACAGGCTGGATAGCCATTCTAATTGCACTTCCAAGAGCCCATCTCTTATCCAGTCAGGGGAGTATCTGTCTCAGATGTGGGGTTCCACTGAAGATTTCACTTAAGGGAAAAGTTTCTGCTGCTAAAAAGTACTTTAAAACCACAGCTTCATGATCCAAAATGAGCCAGGTGAGGTATGAGAGGAAGGCATCTGAGGTCCACAACTCAACAGATGAGATTCCATCTACTTAGTTCTGCATCACTTCTTGTGATCTCCCATTCAGTCTCCAGCTCTTTTGCTACCAAAATACCAGCCAGAGCTATGCCACCACACCTGGTGCCACTTGTAATTTTTAATAAAGTGCAGAATTACTGCATTTCCCATCTTTAGCTCCCAGCTGCAAACTCTTAGGTCTTAAATTCTTTCAGAAAGTGTGCTCATGTAATTTCAAAGTATTACCCTGAGAACTACAGTGTGATTTGGGAGTGCTTCCAACTATGGGGCTGGGCAGGGTGGGAGCCAAACACTAGGGCTGAACTGAGTGTAGAGACAATAAATCAACCGCAGGTATCACACCATTTAGAGGGTTAGAGCTCAACTGGTCTGAAATAGTAACTGTTTATATTAGTCTGCAGTTGTAATAACATCCTGCCACGGGGCTCTGCCTTTCCTATAGTTTTTACACTACACAGAGATCTGATCACGTCAACTAGTCAGCTTCTACTGTGAGCAAAACAGCCCAGCCTTTTCTACAGAACAGTCGCGGCCTCTCCCAAGGGAAAAAACAAAGCACAGAAGAGACCACGCCCAGAGAGCCACAACCAGCTGCCTCCAGCTGGGAAATCATTATGGCAAAATTAAAAAGCGTTTGGAGACCTATTTAAGAGGGGACAACCCCCACGTAAGGCTTTGGCATTGCTTTAAAACCTCCGAACACGCTGCCTATCCGAGTATGTCATCCAAGCTGCTGTCATTTCTGGAAGTCTGGGTGGAGTTTTGGATTTCAGTCTACTAGATCTACCAAATCCAGGAAACCGAAAGGAAAACAAAACAAAATACCCCTTAGATTAACAGGGTTGTTGGGCAGGATGTGCCTAGAGAAGTGTGCGCTCTAAAGTTGACACCCTGACAAGATGACGGTCACTAGGGTATCGACCAGGATCTGTCACATGGCATCAGCCCTCTGACTGATGGACCAAATGGCTGTGCTCTTCCTAGGCTAGCCTAGAAGCCGGAACAGTGTGGCCTCATCAATAGCAAAGCTGCTGTTAGTGCTAGAGTCTAGGGATCTAGGTGTACTCGCCTCGGGAACCCGGCCCCTGGCCCACCCCAGTCGTGTGCGAGAGGAGGCTATTACGGGGAAGGGTCGCAGTCCTAGCGCACGGACCTGCCTCTCCTCCGCCTGCAGTGAGCACTCTTCCCGCATCCGCATCAGCTCGTCCTCCAGCCGCACGCGCATCTGCTCCAGCTCGAGCGCCTCGCGCCGCAGCCCGTCGGCCTCCTGTGCACACAGACGCGCCTCCTCCTCCGCCTCGCGCCGGCTCTCCTGGCCGCGGCGCAGCGCCTGCTCCAGCTCGCGCACCTCGTCCTCGTACCGCTGCACGCTTTCCCGCCACGACTCGGCCAGCAGCAGCGCGTAGCTGTCGTGCACACCCCGCAGGCGCGGCGGGGGCGCGGCGGGGCCGGCGGCGCGGGCTCGGAAGTGCATGGTCAGGCTAGCGGCGCGGGCTCGCAGCTCCCGCACCTCGCGCTCGTGGGCCGCGTCCAGGCCGCGGCGCTCTGCCTGCAGCCGGTCCAGAAGCGCCTCAAGGGCGGCGCGCGCGCCCAGCGCCTCCTGCAGCTCCCGCCGCTCCGCGCCTAGCTCGGCGTCCAGACGGCCGCGGGCCGCGCTGGCCTCCGCGTCCTGCCGCTGCAGCTCCCGCAACTCCCGTCGCAGCGCGTCGCGTTCTCCCTCGGCCAGCGCAGTGGCCCAGCTCAGTTCGTCTAGCTGCTGCCGCAGGCTGCGCGCCTCCTCGGCGAAGCGCGCCTGGCCCTCGGCCCAGCGGCTCTCCTGGCCCAGCCGGCTGCGCAGTTCCTGCTCCAGCAGCAGGTTCTCGCGCTCCAGCTCCCGTACGCGGCACACGTAGTCATAGAGCCGGGCGTTGAGCTCCTGCAGCTCGGCCTTTTCGAAGCCTGTCTGCAGCCGCCAGGAGAGCATCTTGCTGGGTGTGTGCCGAGCTCTCCCGATTGAGCGCTTGCCTCCAGCCCTGATCTTGTCCCCTTCCGCCGCGCCCCGCCGCGCCCGCCTTGCCGCTGCCTCGGAGGCCCGCAGACTGGCGAGCGGGCTGGGAAGCCTCAGCATTTAGTGGCCTGGACAGGCGGCTGTGGGCGCGGGCTACCACCTCCAGCCAATCAGAGCGCGGCCCGCGTGGCCATTGCGGCCGGACAGCGCCCCCTGCCGGGAAGACCGAGGCCCGGTGAGGCTGCCCAGCTCTGGCAGCCACCGGCTGATGTCTGTGAGCTCCCTAGCATCCGCTAGCTGGGACCCCGAGACAGGGTTTCCTAACTAGCCCACAGGCCTACCTAAGGCACCCCAAAGTCCAGGTACCCAAGAAGTCGTCACTAACCAAGACACGCCATGTACCAATAAAGTTTCTTTACTTATAGGATGTTTCCCATCAGTGGTGCTGGAGATGCAGGACGGGAATGTTTATTATTTTTTAACGTGCTAGGGATGTAGCTCAATGGTAGAGTGCTTGCCTAGGATAGCCAGGCCCTGAGTTCAAACCCCAGCACCACAAAAATTATACGTTTATGCATGTGTATCTCCACACACACACGTATGTGTATATCTTTTATGGCATGAATGCATCTCCATTGCCAATGTGCAAAAATGGAAAGTTCGTTTCTATCTTACACAAACTATCTTCATGGGGCGTTGCACTTTGCAATATCTGATTCCTTCTGTTGGAGTAAGAACTTAGAAAGACCTTTAAATGCTCTAAGCACAGAACATTCCAGACACCTACCATCTCCCCAAACTTTTACAACTGTCTTATGCACACCCTCAATGTGACAGCCGGTTTTCTTTTTCTTTCAACAACGTGCCCTTAAGAAAGCACTCGATTTAATTGCTATAGAAACCACAGCGCACACGCTCTCTCTCTCTCTTTCTCTCCCTCTCTCTTTACATACTTGCTTTTCACGATACTTAAAGTTACAAATGACAGTAACCAGGCTAAGTAGCATTTAGGAGCAAATACAGCTGGCCCTTGGTTGCATAGGGAAAAGAGTGCCAAGGAGGTCTGGAGAGTTACTCTGTGGCCACAGGGCTCTTCCTGGCAGGTCCACCAATCAGTGAGTGCTTTTACAGTGGCACAGTAAGGTGGGTTGGTTAAGGTCACTTAAGAAAGACTCCAGAGCTCTCTTTGTAAAGGATGTGAGTCTGACCACAAACTCTGGCAGAAAGTCAGCCTTGATTTCTCCAAAGACCCCATTTCTGAGGTACCATTCTGCTGGTGGCAGATGTATGTATCTTTCGGGTCAGAATTCCCTCTCCCTTTCTGATGAGACTAAGTGGGAGTGGAGTGTGTATTAACTTAGCACTAAGGGATGGAGCAGGAGGCTCTGAACCCCTGTCCTTGTCTGCTCTTCATCCGTTTGCCAAGGGGCAAATCAACATTTGGTCCATGATCATCATCACCAGTCCTCCCACCTCTACCCTAGCATCTCTCCTGGGCCACCTAGGACAGCAGACCACCATGGGGCAGTTTACACAGTCACCCAGACTCAACTGGAATCATGAATTCTCAGCATTTTGTCCACACTTCCAAGATTTCAAGCTCCTCGGGGGACAGCTCTGCATGGGGGGATTCTGAGGTGGTTCCTCACAGAAGGCTGCTGTGCTCTGGCTCGTTAGGTTTTCCTTGACTTTTACTCCTAAGAGTCTCAGATTTTGAAACTCAACCCCCACCCCTACTTCTGCTCTAATCTCTATCTCCAAGGAAATGACTGCTTTCAGGTACAGTTGCCCAGGTAGAGGGCATCAGAAAATAGCAAGAGGAAAAAAAGTACCACTGGTTAGCCTTGCAAAATAATATCCTGATGACCACATTTAATCCTCACAGAACTGAGGCTCAGAGGAGTTGACTAACTTGCCTAGAGATACAGTCCCAAAATGTGGGAAGAGGTATATTAGAGGTTGTGAACACGGGAGCCAAAATGAGCAGGCAGGGTCTTGAAATTAAAGGGAAGGGAATGACTGAGGGAATGAAAGAATAAAGCTATCTACAAAGGGCTGGCTGGGATGGAGAGGTCCTAGGGACCAGGGAGAGTGGCCAAGAAGGCCTGAGTGTCCCAGTGTAGGCTTATCAGTGGGAGCCTGGAGCTCTGGAAGAGCCCCTGGAGGAGAAAGAGACACTGCAGAATGTATCCTAGGAAGGAGCTGGAGAAGGAAAGCCCAACAGCTCTGTCTTCCTGCTGGTCTCCTGCCAGTGCCTCCCACTGTGGAAGCCAGAAGTTGCTGAAGTCTGGCAGTTGTGTGTTGGATAGGGTTCCCACGTGTGAGACAGCCAGCTGTTACATTTCATCACATATTCAACACACCCATTGTTAAAAATTAGCTCACAAAAGCTTGTAATTCATCATACAGAAAAAGGAAATAAGTACTCAAAACTTAACACTTTCTAATTATTTGACTGTGATTTCTCGTCTGTTCATGAAGTTCTGTGTGGAGAGTGACCATGAACTACCAACTGGGCATTCACCCACATTGTGTCGGGAGCTTGAATATTCACACCATAGAAATCAGTGAGTGATTTATTATTGTTGGCTGGGTTATTGCTTTGTGGATTGTCTAGCCTTAGAAGAGTGGTGTCCCTAGTATTGGTCTGTTAGTTCTACAGATTAGACTTAGTACTGTGTTCTGTTGTAACTATTGAATTGTGAATAGTATGAAAAAATCTCAAGATTTTTTTTTGCAGTGTTTCAAAACTATTATCCAGGTCAGCAAAAAAATTGCTTCATCGTGTGGAATGAAGACTCTTAACTATTTTGCCTTGCTTGATAGACAAAAATATCAACACTCATCAATTCCAACTATACACTAAGAATACCAGAGTTCTGCAAAAAGCCACACGAATGTTCTTTGAGAGTCAGTTTACTATATGGAGTTTACAATAAGGACTACTAGTAATTTCTTATTGCTTATAATAAAAATTTGAAAGTTATCTCAATGTTGCCACAGTATAAAGACTCATGCATTTTATTAACATCTTACAGAGAAAAAAATTCCCTGTGGTCTTCATTCCTTATTTTCATTCTTTCATTCAATAGAGTAGGTAATGTAAGCCATAAGAATATATGCACAGATATCAGGAAATTAATACATATGTGTATACATGTATATGTATTTCACTGTGGAACTCAACTAATTTTTACTTTGAATGAAAAAAGGGCCACTAAATATTTCTTTCTATAACTTTCATACTATAAAACAAACCGCGCATCACTATGGTAAAGACAATGTTTCTTGGATTTTTGCCTCTTGGTTGGTGGTACTGGGGACTGAACTCCATCCTGGAGCTCAGTGTGTTGCTAGGCAAATGTTCTGCCATCCAGCTGTATACCCCTCCCCCTCCCCCAGGACAGGCTCACTTTTGTTTCCCAGGCTGGCCTTGTACTCCCTATGTAGCTTCTGCTCTTCAACTTGCAATCCTCCTGCCTCAGCCTCTCGATTTTCTGATATTACAGGCATATGACACCAGGCTCTCTGCTCAAAACAATGGTTTTTAAAAATATTTTATTATTTTTGTTTTTATTATGAGTGTATGGCCTGCATGTAAGTGCACCTGAGTGTGCAGTGCTCGTGTTGGTCAGAAGAGGGCGTCGGATCCACTGGAACGGAGTTACAGAAGGATGTTAGCTTCCTTGTGAGTACTAGAAACCGAACTCTGGTCCTCTTTAAGAGCAGTCAATGCTCTTAACCACTGAGCCACCTCTAGCCCCGTTTTATGTTTTGTTTCTGTTGTTTTTTTTTTTTTTTTTCAACAGCAATCATTTTCGGTAAGCTAAACACCTAAAGGACCATCTACTTTGCCCGTTGTCCATTCCAATGGAAAGAGAACTCAGGAACAGCACAGAACTGGAGAGCTGACGGTGGCGTTTTAGTAAATTGGTAAGCAGGCAGAGAAGCAGGCATTCGCGTGTAAAACTGACTGGCGTGGCCGTAGCGAGTAGCGCCGACCCAGCAGGGGGCGCTCGAGGATGGAGCGTCAGAAGGGCTCCCGGATGACCACCAAAGGACTCCCTCTGAGACTTTCAGGGTGGAGGGAAGTGCCCTGGAGAAGCCCAGGGTCGCACAGCCAGCGTGCCATCGAAAGCCCTAGAAGCAAGAGGGCTGCTCAGGACTGGGAACCCAGGCTTGTCCATCAGCCTGTGCAGACCTGGGGGAAGTGGGCATATTGGGTCTTTTTCCTACTTGGACACAGAGCCATGTGGCCAGGCCCCATCCAGTTCTCCCGCACGTGCGAAGGCGGGGCATCCCTCCTCTCTCCCTGCTTCAGCCCCGCTCATTCTTTCTGGTCACTGCAACAGGGGAGTGTTGTGCCCAGGCAGAAAGCCAAAAGGAGGAGGCCTAACTGAGTTGGGTGTCCACAGTCTGGCACTTTTTATAAAGACTCAGGAAAGACATCAATCAGAAGTGGGGAGAAAATCCTGGGGAAGTGTAGAGAAGGAGGCAGAGGACAGCTGGGTTCCCCTGGAGAGGAGGGAATATTGGGGGAGGGAGGCCTGAAGATGGGAAATGAAGGCTTAGGGAAGACACGGCCTGACACACGGCGTCTAGCAACCTTCCTAGGCAGAGCTGAAGAAGATAGCAAAACCCAAGTTAGGGGTTAAGGTGGCTCGTGCCTGCAATCCCAGCCCTTGAAAGGCTGAGGAAGAAGGATCACTGTAGTTGAAAGTGAGCCTGGGCTACATCGTGAGCTCCAGGTCAGCCTGGGCTACAGAATGAGACCCTGTCTCCAAAAAGCCAAAGCCAACCTACCAACCAATCAAAGAATAAACCAATTACAGTGTGCGCTGCAATGTAAAGGCCTTAAAACCCATTTCCCAGAGGCATACAGTGACAGCAGGCCAGAGGGAACCACTCCAACAGGGGTGTGAGCACTCAAGCAGGTCACAGTCCACCCCTATGGTGCCTTTGTGTAAATCAGAGAAAAATGCCCTTTTTTGAGCAGACTGCTGAAAGCTTCGTTGCTGGGCAGTTCTAAGTGCTGAGGCAAAGCTGCCCTTTCCTTGGATAGAAAGGGCCCTGCAACTGCATCCAAGATT